ACACCGTCATCGAAGCAGGTCACGGCAGAAGTATCGTTACAATCAGTACGGGTGTCGACGCAGGGAAATAATGATGAAATTAGGACGAACGACCAACCACCGTCACCACAGGAAAGCCCTGAACACGTGCAGCGGCGAGTTAGCTCGTTGGCAAAACGTGAACGCATAATTATTCCGTCTGAAACCGCAGGTCGAATCGAACAACCACCATCGACCGAAGAACACCCGCCAACCACCGAACAAACTCTGCTCCCTCACGCACACAGCGATGTTCCTGACACTTCCACAGGTAAGGTGGTTGGTTCTTAAAATGTGACTGCTCTGATGTGCGTTGAGAAAGAGCCCAGTCGATTCCAAGAGCTTCTTGATCCTGCTCCATACTTAGGTCGTTCTCATCGTCGGTGATGTGCTTGCGTTTTAATAATGAACACGGGTTGTGTCCGTTGTGCATGATCGATTAAACAGGAAGATTTTAAAACCTAACAAATGTACAATTTTCGATTAAAATATCTACCAGCTTCAATTTCTCGATGACAGCTGCTGTTAATCGTCATTTTTCAATTTTAATTTATTCCAATATGGTTTCGAAGAGCAATTTTTTCTCTTTTCCATCAGAAATACGATTCTTGCTAAAACTCCAGTTATTTGTCCTTGAAGCTTCTGCATCGCAGAAGGAATTTTGAGATACACCACGTTTCTAGGATAATTTCTGCGCTGTTTCAGTTCAAGGACTTGACTAACAAATGCTTCAAAACAGAATGCTGAAATTATGTATGAAATCAGTAGTCGTTCGACTAAAACGTACGAAATCTGCACAGTGATAAATGGACAAGTGCACAGCTGACATAATCGATGTGAGTGATGTATTAGAGGTAAAACGGAGTGCATGTGACGCTTAACTGTTAACGGGTGTTCCGGAATTACATGCTAGAATCAATAGCTGAATTGTCCTATAAGCGTCAGAAACCTTTCATGCAACGAATCGGTGAGAACTGCCACGGAAAGGCGACGGCATACCATTTTGCCTCAAAATACCGTTTTTACTTGTCCCTGTCAGGTGACTGTTGTTGTATGGCACGGAAACAGTAGCTGTAATGAAGGAGCGATCACAATGGTTGAACAGCGAATAGCAACATCGGTTTCGACTCCGAATACGGATCAAATGACAATACTACTTACGGAGCATCTCAATTTTCTTGCAGACACATTGGACCTCAGTGTACGTGGAGGCAAAGAAAAGGAGGTTTGCCTATTGGACTAGAGGGTGGAGCCTAAACCGTCACTTAGCCTATGGTCTTCTCGAAAGGGAGCCGAAAAATGACGGACGTCAACCAGAAGGCCAGCATGCAATGTGGAGAAGCAAGGAAGATGCAGATCAGCTGCCAGAGAGAAGTATACTTTCTAAGCCTCAGTAACACGTGACGTATAGCAAAAGTGTATGCGGCTTACATGACAAGTCAGAGACGGCATGCTCATGCAAGCGGTTCAGCGTGACGATCTCAATAAGCAAACACAACGTATTTTACTTGAGGAAGATGGAGCATATATATAGGTAATGTGTTCGGCTGTTGCTTTCACGATTTTCGAGGTATGCCGGTTTAACGAAGATAGTCCCAGAGGTCCATACTTTGTCAAGATGAGGAGTATTTTGAAGTACTTTTATGACTCACAATTGAGGGTGTCTCTTTCAGTCAATACCCATGATTTACGACCTTAGCTGAGCGTTGTGATATATGCAGACTTGAAGATAGATAGCTTCGCCCTGCGGCTCTGCCTTTGTTCTACCGCCATAGACTGATCTAGCTTTCGCATTACAGCACTCGCGTGACTGATTCATGATCGATTTCGGCTCTTCGCCTAAACTGACTCCCGCAGTTACCCCAAGGTACACAAATTTGGTCTTCTGCTTCAGCACCATGCCAGCTACCTGTAAAAAGCAGTGAGGGGCATTTTCGGGGACTGAAACAGCTTCAATCTTAAAGGCTGAAAGTCATGCCGACCTCATTGCATGTAATGGTAAAGTGCGCACCTGCAGGCTGTCCTTCGACGAAGCATAAATGATGAGGTCATACGCGAAAAACAGATAGTTTAGTCAGGGCAATGCACGTGTGACTTCTCCGTCCTAGATTGTGACCGAGATTCTAAAGTGCAAACTTAAGGAATAGGATATGAAATAATTCTGATCGATATTAACGAGAACAAGACAAGTATCGCCTTCCTGTCACTAATCTGGGCACAGACCTCTGGTCAATTACATAGGGAATTAATATCCCTGAGTGGACAATCATCCTCTTCGTACTTCTACAATTTTCTCAATAGTTTCGACCGATATGCTTTGTTGTAACTTTTGACCAGGTTTATGGTATATACCTGCTTCACATATTCCTAAGATTTCTCACGCAACTGGCTGAGAGTAAAAATTTGGTCTAAATTCTGCTACTGGGCTAGGAGCGATACTGCGAAGCTTGAGTCTTTAACTCAGCTGTTTTTTGACACTCCTTTTCCAGTCACTTCACGAAGACCAAATTAGGTAGGTTAAACAAACACTGATTCTTTAGTTGCTGCCGTCTACCTGATACTCTTTCTGGAACACAGAGTGATCCACGACGGATTGCCATTTAGGCCATTTTCTAGAGCAGCTCCATGATGACTGGAATCGCTACTATCGCCACAAACTAAAGAAACCTTTGAAATGTTCCCCCAAATATTCCCATCATCTCTGGAGTATCGTTGCAGACCTCGAACTTGTAATATGAAACAAACTTTAAGATGGATTCAGAGAATAAGGGCGTTGAAGACTGCGCTGCGTATTTTCGATACCTATTTAATCAGTGTGGTCCATACTGTTCAGAAGCTGTAACGTTACATCTGCGAGCCATTGGTGAAGAGCTTCAAATATTGTAAAATCATCAGCAGACTTTACAGGCAAAACATAGCTCTTTATCCGTATTCAACCTGTAATAATGACAAAAGCTATTATTGAACTACTGTTGTTGTATTGTAATACATGCACATGCCGTTTTGCGTTCATAAGTTTCCATGGTCCGATTCACTAACAAAATAATGTGGGCTTTGAATAGTTTTTCCGTCATTTGAATTATTTTCACTGCAGTTCACTTAATGCATGATTTGCAAATATAGTCGATGTTATAATATGTAATTTATAACAGCGTAAGAATGGATGACATGCGTCTGACGCTAAAGTGAGTAATTTTCTAGTTTCCTCACTACCACTACTTCTTCCATGTCACTCATTACTTAAATTTTACTTCTGATGTGGCTTGAGACTGTAAAAAGTCGTAAAATCACGAGTTGGAACTACCCATCTTAAAGCATGATTAAAATAGATAATTTTGCTTTTTGCCATCGATCCGTTCTTTAAGTATGCATTTGGCAGATGCGGTAATGAAATGTTATACCCCGGGCGCTGCTTTCCTCGAAGATGTACATACATACTGACCATTTCTGAAACTTCGCCAAAGTTCCTAGTGGATCTCTCCATCACCACCAAGAATTACTTTTCCCATATATCATCCCCTTCTAATGTCGCGAATGGCTGTTATTAGAGACGTTAAGTTGATAAATCCCAGTTTCTTGCAACGACAAGAGTTGCAACGATCATAGTAATCAATCTTTCCTTATCATGGCAACAACACGACTAAGAGTCTCTGCTGCGAACGTGATGCGGTTCCATGTACATACATACATACATACATACACACATACATACATACATACATACATACATACATACATACATAC